AAGCTGACAGGGGCACTTCTTTTCTACTCGAGCCGAGCAAGTGCTTCTGGGGTAAATGCACTTTAAAACCGATGTTAACAAGCCTTTACTAAAATGAGACTTGACTCCAGGGTTTGCTGGGAATCTCTTGACACTGATCCAATGTTTAAGAGCTAACACAGGATCCCAATTATTTGTATTAAATAAAAAATATGGTTGTTACATAAAAAATTAACATAAAATATACACTACTGTTCAAAGGTTTGGGGTTAGAAAGATTTTTTAAACATTTTTTTTAATCAAAAATACAGTGAAAACAGTATTTTTATGAAATATTACAATTTAAAATGAATGTTTTCTATTTTAATACATTTTAAAATGTCATTTATTTCTGTGATGCAAAGCTGAATTTTCAGCAGCCATTACTCCAGTCTTCAGTTTCACATGATCCTTCAAATCACTCTAATATGCTGATTTGGTGCTCAAGAAATATTAGTTATTATTATCAATGTTGAAAATAGTTGTACTGCTCAATATTTTTTTCGGAAGCCTTGATACATTTTACCCAGAATTCTTTGATGAGTAGAGAGTTTAAAAGAACAGCATTTATTTATTTGGATTAGACATTGTTTGTAGGCTACTATTATAAATGACTAAATGACTGTCACTTTTAATCAATTCAATGCGTCCTCACTGAATAAAAGTCATATTTTATTTAAAAAATCTTACTCCAAATTTTTGAATGGTATATGTATTTACATATCAAATCATTTTAAATAATTGCTTGGTGCATATGTTAGATGAATTCACTGTATGCGGGCATTTTTTCATTTTAATATATGTTGTTGTTTTTTAAATCACTTTCCATGCCATATTTGGTTAATCATGAGTCACAGAGCAATTAATATCAAAATGCGAAAAAGTAATATAGAGGTATTCCTTCGCTCAAGCACTACTGAGGATAATCTGGCTAAAAACAGCTTACAGACAGTGTTCTCCAAACCTACTACAACACTTTCTTCCTGGTCTTCCCTGGCATCCTGCCATAATGCCTGTCAAATTATTGCTTTATCCTTTCATGGTATTATTGGTGTAAATCTCCCCTGTTGCAGTACAATGCTGAAGGCCATTGAAATCCTGTTAATGTGCTGCAATTAAATTGTTTTTGAAATGCTAAGCTCTCTCTCCCTTTGATAATTTAAGAACAGTTGACTCACTCTTGATGACTGAAAGGTTTAGAAGGATTCACGCTAACGGACTCAAGACGAGTGTAAACTGTAGGCCTGCACTTGAGTGGCATTAATGCGCTTTTAAGAGGTTCCCCTCCTCTGTTTCTTCTCTAAATGGAATTAAACCCAGCTACCCCATGCTTTTTGAACCTGCAAGAAACTATTAGCAGAACTCAACGCGATATTACGGCAGACCTTCCAGACGTCGCTCTCACCATTTAACCTCTTACTTAGGCATCATATGAGAATCTCAACACTGCTCCACATTCCAAACCTCTTTCTTAAGGTCATACGGTCGTAAGCAGCGGCGCCCTTTCTTTCAGAATGACTGTACTTTTATTTTCTCGACTGAAGTAGGAGACTGGTGTTTGGGTGGTGTGGGGAACTGCCCTTAGCCACCACATCACATTTTATTTCCTCAGACTGACAGGACGAGCTCTTACTCGTCACGAATGATTGTTGGTGATAACACTTACCACAACAAACACTTGGAATTCTCTTGTGTAACTGAATCCTGGGAAACATGGTGTTAAAAAGACTTTAAAAACACTACAGCACATGGGAAAAGTTCACAGTAGAAATACAGAAGCTGCGTGGAAGCTTAATAATGGTTCAACTGGGCCTTTCTGAAAATTGATGCTGGTTAAACCGTGGAATATTTACAAGAGCGTTTTAGTGGTGCTGAATGTGAGCCAACGCGCCTGAATGTATTATGTCAAACCATGAGGATTTCAAAATCTTGCCACTTGAGATTTTACGAGCTGAGCAGTAGGTGTCTAGGCAACACTTCAAAAGTCCCTGCACACATCTGTGACCAAACCACAGCCGCTGAAGAGGAAAGACTCGTGATTGAATTACCGTGGGGCTGTTTGTTTCACAATCTGCTCACGGTAGCCCCAGACCTTCCTGACCTCCAGACTCCCACACTACATCAGTTCCTAAGATCACCGTGTCAGACTACACCATTACAATCATGCCATCTGATGTTTTTTCATAGCATTTTTAATAGCCTTATTAAGTCATTCATAATTATTGACAGGAATGTAAAACAATTGTTTCCATGCCATTTTGGATTTCTATATAAGCTTGTTTCTGCATTCAAGAAATAATAAAAGGTAATTGTGACTTTATGTCTTACTATTGCAATTTTATTTCTCACAAATGCTACTTTCTTTCTCAAAAGTGTAACCTTAAGGGGGTGGTTCATTTGTCATTTTACAAAGTGTACTTAAGAATGTAAAAAAAAAGTCATTAAAGTGCTTAACTATTCGGTAATATTATATTATCTGCAATAAGTACACTACAAGTGCACATTCAATACAATTAAGCTCCATTCTTTTTCACAATGATATCCCTTTAAATCTCACAATTTTATCTTGATTTCTTATTTAACTTTCTCTCACAATTACCTTTTTTATTCTTTACTCGGAGGCAGAAATGGGCTTCTATAAATAGCCTTATCATGTGATTGACATGCTTTCTTGTGCGGTAAACCTGTTATTGACTTTACACCTTTTGGGCTGTGTGTAGTACTCAGAACTTCCCTATTTCATGATTGCTTTTGACAGTCATTCGCATGGTCAAAGTTCAGCCACACGCATGATGTATCATTCCTGTCAAGGCCACATTCACCAGTTTTTTTGTTGTTGTTTTTTTTCCAATCCAGCCAGTGTATGTGCAGACCATCTAAGTACGTACCTGTTTCTGGCCGAGTTGTTCTGTGTACACAATGATCAGTTCCCTTTGTCTTTGCTACTGGCAATGAGTCAGCTAATTACAGTGGAAAAGAGCTCTGTTAGGGCTCTCAAGCAAAAATGACCTCAAATAGCCATGTTCTCTGAATCACATGCAAACATAACACAAATACCGTCCAGTGTGGTCTCAGTGACACCTGTTTATGTCATAACAAAGGAGAAGTAGATATTTCCCATGGAGAGTATGTTTTACTCTAAAGGGAGAGGAAGCAGAGAAAACCTGTTCTGTTCCTGCTTAACAGCATGACAAACACACACATCAGATACTGAGTCATCAGAGAGATATTTTACAGTCAAAGAAAACATGGTTGCTAAAAATAATCTGTCTTTAATGTTAAATCCTCAGTCCGACCACATCTGAACTCCAAACCTGCAGGCCGCAGCTGCACCATCTATTATACACAGTCACGAATTCAGGCAAGCAGGACAGGAACTGAAATATTCCACACTACTTTTTTGGAACTGCAGGAACCTTTCTCATACTGGTATACCGCTGAATCACCTCTGAATACTTTTATTCCACACATATTTGTCTTTTATTTTAGACTTTGATCATTAGCCCACAAAAAATACTCATTTATCTTTCTCATTAACACTGAAAAAGTACAATCTGATAAAGCTCTGATATTTTAAGCATCAAAAACAGCCCATATTCCCTTGAGTCTATTCTAAACGGGGCTCT